GAAACTAAACACAGAAGTTAAATAACTAGGCAAACAGGCTCTATAGCAAGGGAACAGTTTATGTGAGCTTGAGGGATTAGAGTCTCAAAAGCAACCACACACATGCACACAAAAGTAAAAGTGAAAAATGAGAGACCACCTGGCTCTGCAAAACGAATTTGGGGTGAGTAAAAGAGGAAAAAGCAAGATTATAGTGAGCCCTGGAGGATGCAGGGCAGGATATCGTGAGGAAAACCGTGAAAGCAAGCTCTTCTTGGTGTCTTTGTCTTTTTATGCTGTGGGAAACCTGTGAGAACTTCTACATGGGACTCCTGAGAGGTGGTGCTTGGATCCCACATCTCAGGCTCACATCAGGTCTAGGTCATGGTATTGAAAACCTGCTTGAGTTCTCTCTAGAAGTCCATGCATGTGCAGGGCTTTGGGAACTTCTATGTGTGTGTCTGGGATCTTGTAACCAACAGGTCATGCCTACTTCCCCAGCCAGATTTGTCATGTCCTAATCTCCATATCATTTGCACCTGAAAGACACAAATCAATCCCCACATTTATTTATTTGTTTGTTTATTTGTTTATTGGTTTTTTGGAGACAGGGTCTCACTGTGTAGTTGAGACTGACCTGGAACTCCCTATGTAGCCCAGGTTGGTCTCGAACTCACAGTGATCCTCCTGCCTCAGCCTCCCAAGGTGCTGGGATTACAGGCATGCACCACCTCACCCGGCCCCCCATAATTCTTTATAGGGTGTTGAGGGAGGTCTCTGTCTCCTATAGTTTCTTCAAGCTGGCAGGGGTTGTAGACCCTACCTACTGGGGATTATGTGCTCTTTAGCTACTGTGGGGTGCTGTGGCTCACTGGCTGGGTTGAAGAAAGAAAAACCTGTCAGAAAACAAGAAAGATGTTAATGATCATTTAGCTTCACTATTAGCCCAAAAATGAGGGGCAGGTCAGATTTCCATGCTTCTTGTAGCTGCACCAGAGTCTTGCTTTTGAAAGAGAAATCTCAAGTCTTCCAGAGTCTCCCAGGAGAAACTTCCTCCTTTTGGGTGATCTTGTTCTTTAAATAGTTCAGATAGGACTGGCTTTATTCTGTTTGTTTTGTTGCTGTTGTTGTTGTTGTTTGGTACTGGAAATCAAACTTGGGACTTTGCACTTGCGAGGCACGTGGCAGCACCACTGAGATAAATGCCTGGCCCTGGACTGGCTTTATTCTAAAGATGAAACCAATTGTGTATCTCTGCCACCTTTATTGAAGTGGTGTGGCAAGGATCACTGAGAAGGGGCCCTTCCATTTTGGCTTTAATTGGTCAGTAGGTATCCTCTTTCTCTAAATTTTTACAAGCACTTGATCTCCAGGATGGACAGTAGGTGGTTCTCCTGGGCCAGGAGCTGTCAAGACTCTGTTCCTAAACATTTGGGTAGCCTGTTGTACTAGGCCAAGATTAATGAGATATTGTAAGAGCTTCTGGGTCTACTGTCATATCAGAGAATAGAAATGGCCTCTCCTATAACATCTCAAATGGGCTCAAATTTAGCCCATTTTGGCGCATGTTATAAACTCTCCTAAGCACTGTTGGCAGCAGTTGGAGCCAAGACTCAGACATCTCTTGGTAAAGTTTTGCCAGGACTCACTTTAGGGTCTGGTTGGCTCTCTCTACCTCTCCAGAAGACTGAGGCCCACTTCCCATGTAGAATTTTTATTGCTTGTCACTATGTCCATTGAGGAAGAACTAGAAAGGTTCCTCAGGAACTGGAATAGGGCTAGGGCCTTGAGGGGCTGCAGGGCTGTCTTTCTTGCTTCCTTATCAGCCTTTTGATTTCCCAAGGAGACTTCAGACATGTCTCTTTGGTGCCCTTAACAGTGCATGACTGAAACCTGCCTGGGAATATCAACTGCCTCCAGAAGGTGTAGAATTTCCTGCCTATGTTTTACAGATGATTGACAAAGCTACTTCCATCAGTGAGCTGCACCTCCTCAGGATCTTGGAGAGACACGCACTGATGTCCTTCCTACTTGTGTAGGTCTGGGAGATCACTTGTTCACAAGAGTGGCTACTTTCTGGGCCAGTAGGTATCAAAGAAGCGGGGTTAATCATACTTCAAGTTTTTATAATAACATGAGGGGCCTCTAGGAGCACACTTGGTAAGCTATACTGCTGTTAACCACAAGTAACATTCTGTCTCCAGAATAGTTCTGACCCGGTGGTGAGGCAGGACTTCTAATCTCTGTCCCATAGCTAATTTTGCAGCATCTTCTGTTAGTACAGTTGCAAATATGATCTGATCAGAGGTTCCTTTGACTCTAACTATGGCTATTGATCCAGAGGAGGGTTTTTTAGAGAAGTAAGTCAAAACAAAATGAAGTAATTGAATTAGCTCACTCATGATGGCTAAGATCACCCAGGGTTCCTTGGAGGAGATGCTGATGTCTGAGGACAGGGGCATTGCAGGCTCTCCTGGGCCTCTTCAGTCATCAGAGTAGGAAAAGAGGATTCTGGCAGGCCTAGCCCTTCTCTGGGATGGGGACAGGCAAACCTCCAGTGCCAAGAGTCAGGAGCATTAGCTGTCTCACATACACAGCAGGGCCCAGGAGGAGGCTTGGTGAAGTTGCATACTCCATTTGCAGTCTTCTTGCACTTGAAACAAGCACCTCAGTTGTCCTTCGAGTTTTTCCTAGATGACCGGGGTGGGCTGAAGGCATTGCCAATTGTGACAGCTGTAATCTCTTTTATTTTATTTTATTTTTTATTATTATTACTTTTTTGAGTCAAGGTCTCGCTTTGTAGTTTAGGCTGGTTTTGAACTCACTATGTAGTCCGGGCTGGCCTCAAACTCATGGAGATCCTCCTCTCTCAGCCTCTCAAGTGCTAGGATTACAGGTGTGTGCCACCACGCCTGTCAACTGCTATAATCTTCTCATTTTTCTTTTATCTGTCCTCTGGTCCCAATTTTTGAACATGGAAAAAGCCTTGTTCAGCAACTGAGCCAAAGGTGTCTGTGGGCCCATCTGAAGTTTTTGTAGCTTATGCCGAATATCTGTGGCTGCTTGATAGATGAAAGGATATCCCACAAGTACATCTCCCTCCCTGGAAGATGGCTTTATATTAGTATATTTACAAAAGAGTCAACACACCTCTTTGTCTCCCTGGTACGAGCAGCTAGCACATCAGACATCATTCTTAGTCCCCCTCTATTTTTATAGTCCCTGTTTGGTTCTGTTGGAGGGAGAATAACCTTTCCAGGGTGGTTTCTTTCCCTTTTTAAGGCACATTGTCCATTTGCATAGTTCCTAGCCTTTTGTACATCTGTAACTGAAGAAGGGGCCTGATTTATTGGCCTGGGAGGTGGTGGAAGAGACCTCATAGTATCATCAAACAGATCAATCAGAGAAACTCACTGCCCCCCTAGAGACAAGTGAGGGTTCCAGGACAGGGCCATCCTCTTAGTTTTTGAGACTTTCCTGTGATAAAGAGTCACAAACTCCTGTATATAAGATATGTCATTCCACCTTTTATATTTTAAGCAGAAATGCTATAATTGGAGAATAGTCTCATAGCCTGGCCAGGGAGTTAGCTCAGTGGTGCCGCTGCCTGCCTCATAAGCACAAGGTCCAGAGTTGGATCCCTGGTACAAAAGAAAAAAAGAGAAGCTTTTGTATAGTCTCATAGTTTAAAGTGCCATCTTGTACTCATCTTTTGCCACCTTCCAGTTTGTACTGAACCCACACCGTATTGCATTAGTAGATAAACTGTTTCTATTTTATTTGTTTGGTTTTTTTTGTTTGTTTGTTTTTTGAGACAGGGTCTCACTAGGTAGTTGAGACTGACCTGGAACTCACTTTGTAGCCCAGGCTGGTCTCAAACTCACAGTGATCCTCCTGCCTCAGCCTCCTGAGTGCTGGGATTACAGGCGTGCGCCACCACTCCCAGCCTAAACTGTTTCTATTTTAGATTGAAAGGACCAAACCTTCTCCAGTCATCAAGAGTATGGCCTAGTAGAGAAGTCTGAAAACCGCATGGTGCTGAGGTCCACAGCGTCTTCTACTGGGGGCCTATGCCAAAGTGTTACCGGGTAGCTCCTTCTAAAAGTGCCTCATCAGTTACACAGCACTGGGTTTGGGGTTGCTTGCTGTCCTTCTGGAGATGATTTCCAGGTTATTCTTGTCTCAAACAAGGAATTGAATTAAATGAGCAAAGAGCAGTGAAAAGTTTATTTGAAGAGTGAGGGATAAACTGGCTCTGCAGAGCAAGCGTGGGGTGAGTAAAAGAGGAAAAAGCAAGATAAAAGTATACTCTGGAGGACAAAAGAAACTGTAAGAAGAGAGCTATGATATCCTTATTTATTTATTTTTGAGACAGGGTCTCATTTTATAGTTCAGGCCTTGAACCGACTATGTAGCCTCAACTGGCCTCAAATCTGCTGGGATTGTAGGCATGAACCACTACGCCTGGCAGAGGGTTTTTATTTATTTATTTATATTAAGTTTATTGGTACTTTTTAAGTATACAGTACAGTTGCATTCATCATTGGGATCTTGTGCCTTTACATGGTGTATCTTGATTCTTATTTTCCCCCATACCCCTGCCTTCCCTTCACCCCCCCACCCTTCCCTATTTACAAAGACTTTGTTTCCATTTTTTCCTTTTCTCATATGTTTTCCTTTCCCTTCTTTCTTTTCCCCACCTGCCTTCCTCACCCCCCCACCCTTCCCTATTTACAAAGACTTTGTTTCCATTTTTTCCTTTTCTCATATGTTTTCCTTTCCCTTCTTTCTTTTCCCCTACCCTTCTGACTTCCCATATTCCTTTGGACCTTTTCTTCCTATTTCACGTTATCAATTATACTATTTAAACCTTATTTACACTTTTAGCTTCTCACACCAGAGAAACTATTTGGTATTTGCACATGTGTGTCTTGTTTATTTCACTTAAGAGTATAGCCTCAATATGCAAAGGATGGGGGGGTACCGAGGATCAAACTCGGGTTCTTGCTCTTTCGAGGCAGGTGGTGGAACCGCTGAGCTAAATCCCCGGCGCAAAGGATTTTTAAATGGAGCATCTGATGGTCAGATTTATGTCCCTGCTGCAGTGAGAAGATTGCGTTGGGTGAGTAGGTAGGAGACACCTACCTCTAAAGGCCAAAGATAAAAGAGATTTGGAGGGAGGGCAAGACTGACAGGACCTGGTGATGGCAAGGCTGGGAGGACTAGAGAGGAGTGGAGAGCAGACAGAGGAGGCCTCCCAGGACCTGGCTTGGTGGCTGGGTGGAGGATGGTCCTGTCACTATCTGGGGAATAGACACATGGGAAGATTCAGTTTTTAACTTGCTCACAGAGCCTGAAGGACACTGAGGTGGAAGAGGTTCAAGTGGCTGGATCTGCTCTCCGGAGCACAGAGACCGACAGTGCAGGTGCTGACAGCTGAATCCTTGGAGAGGAGGGCATGCCTGTGAGAAGCCACGGGCACGGACACAGCCAGGGAGCCCCAACTCCGGACAGAGAAAAGTGGGGCCTGCAGACAAGATGGAGAAGCTTTCATAAAAGAAAAGAGCCAGGAGAGAGTGGTGTCCTGGGTGTCCAAAGAGAAAACTATGCAGGGGCTTGTGCAGGTGCTTGAGGACTGCAGGGACTCAGACAGCTTTGAAAGCTGCTCCCTAAGCTTGGCAAGGGGCACCTTGGGAGAGCCCTTCAGACTGGAGGGTGTGTAAGGGGAACTGGGGTGGGCAAGAGGACACTGAAGGATAAGAGGCTGTGGAGCTGGGTTTGTAACCCCATGAAAGGCCGAGGCCAGAGAGCCTGGGCAGAGCAGGTGGGGGCAGGGAAGAGCTGATCCTCATGCTCCCCTCTTGCAGGTCTGCAGTCCTTCTTGGTCCCAGTTGGGACCCCTCATGGACTGTCAGCAGGCACTTGTGATGGACAGAGCAGAGATGGGGAAGGCTTCCTGGGAATGGGTGGAGTATGGAGGCTGGAATGATACAACAGAGGTGAGTCCTGGGCCAAGGGACCAAACTGTGACATTTTACCCCCTCTGGAGTGCAGTGTACCTCCAGGTTAGGGTGTCTCCTGAGCCAGTCCCCAGGGAGAACCAAGAGACGCTTCAAGGCAGCCACCAGCAGGAAAGCAAGGTATGATGGGAAGGGGCCAGGGATGCCTTTGAGTCCCATCCCATCCTCCTGAGGGGCAGGCATGCTGTCCTGCCCTAAGAAGGGTGGTCTTGGCACAGCTGCCCAGGCCACAGCCAGTCTCCCACCTCCCCAGGCCCTGCTTGATATGCACATCAGATACCGGTGCCCTTTGCAAAACTGTTATTTGTACAGAAGTCCCAGGGAGGAGGAGGGAGGAAAGACACTCTGCTCTCTGCTGTCCTCCCTCCCACCACTTCCGCTTGCAGGGACCTGTAGGCAAATACCAGCTCCCAGTCACCCCTCCTTGCCAGCTCCCTAGCTGCAGACAGGCAAACCAGAGTGTAGCACCTTCCCAGCATCCCATGTGGCCTGTCCTTGTTTGAGTTGCTCCACTGCTCTGCCGGAAGTGGCCTGGCCTCTGAGCTTCCCACTACCCACCACAGGGCCTCTCAACCCCAGAACCTCTTCCCTGTTCCCCCAGCCTTGAGCTCAGAGCTCCCCTGTACCTCCCTGCAAGCCCAGAGCCTCGCTGTCTGTGACACATTTGCCTCAGGTCTTCATTCCATTTCCAAGAATGGAGGCAGAACCAAGAACCATTCCATCCCTGGGTTGCTCCCACATGGTGGCCCTGTCCTAAGCATATAGGAAAAGCTAGGGTATTGCAAGCAGGCTACTAAGGTGGGTAGAGGGCTGGGAGGAAAGTGAGTGGGCTTTGGAGTCAGGGCTCCAGCCCGCAGGTCTACTGCTTTCCAGCTTGTGCCCTTGATGGCAGTTTCCTGTCTATAAACGGAGGTGGGAATCCTGACCTCACAGGGTGGCAGTGAGGACAAATGACAGGAGTCATAAAGAGACTAGCACAATGTCTGACACATGGTAGGTGTTTAAAACAAGTTACTCTCCTCTCTCCTCTTTGGGGCTCTGAAGAAGAGGTAGGATGAGAAGCCAGCGTCCATAGCGGGAGATCTCCAGGAGGCAAGGGGCAGGCGGGCGCGGTGGTGCACACCTGTAATCCCAGCACTGGAAGGCTGAGGCAGGACTCTGGTCAATTGTGGGGAGAAAGCACGAGCCAGAGCCCCTAGCCTGGCCTGGGAGACCCCAGGGAACGGATCCCTCACGGGTGGAGGGAGGTCTGCCTGGCGAGGGAGTCCTGATGTGGTGGGGCTGCCTCTGAGCCTGCAACACCCCGCTCACACAGTCTACCCCAACTCATAATCGGATTTATATTCCTACTCCCGCCTCTGGACCCGTCACCATGGCAACAGTTTTCTCAGTTGCACTTCATCAGCTTCTTGGCAAATCTTTTTTTCTGCCCCCTCCTTCAATCCTTCTTTTCTTCTCCTCTAGCAGTCTGCTTTCCTACAGACTCGTGTGCTCACCTGTTTCTTTAGCTCTTTGCTTCTCGGATTCTCCTCTCTTGCTTTCCCTCAAGGACTACTGCCCTCCTCTGTCCCAATCTTCTTTCTTTAGCCTCCCTCCTGTCTCTCCCTTCTCAAGTCCACGACTGAAGCAACCAGCTGGAGTCTGTTGGTCAGACAGAGCCTGCACCTCTTTTGGGATCAGGGCTGAGAAGGAGGAGTCTTGTGGGGACAGAGTTTGAGTTCCTGAAGATCTGGCCTGAGGTCTGTCTGCAGTGAGTGGCGAGCTGACGGGAGTCGGCTCCGGCTGATCTGACCAGGGAGCAGGCAGTGGTGAGCAGGGACCTTAGAAGAACTGAGCAGTTTCTTCTCTGGCCCCTGTTGGAACCAGCATAGGTCCTGCAGGGCACATCCCAAGTCACACTTGGGGACCTCAGCCATTGCTTACAGCTACCACAGGTGTGGGTTCTTCCCAAAAACCTAACTTTAGCCCTGACTCTCTCTTAAAAGTCACAGTTACCACTGCCTACCTTGTGAGTGCAAGGTCCCAAGTTCAATCCCTGGTACAAAAGCGGGGGAGGATTTAGCTTAGTGGTTCTGCTGCCTGCCTCACAGGCGCGAGGTCCTGAGTTTGATCCTCAGTACCCTCCCCCCACAAAAGTCACAGTCAAACCTTCCCACCTCCTCAATGGTCAGTTCCACTGAAGTGCCCACCACCGTGTTCAATTCAAGGGGCCTCAACATGGACCATCTTCCTCAGACCACTACCAGCCTTTGTGTTGTCCTGTCACTGCCTAGTGTGAAAGCTCTGCTGCTAACTATTAGTATTTGCATGTAGGGGCTCAAAATCTATTCAGCTTATGTTTCTGTTTCATAGGACCCAGAATGGTGCCAGGATTCCAGGGAGCATGTGCATTTCTGTTACCCTCCACATCGAGCTAGCCTCTGAGGTGTGCCAGTGCTCCTTGTGAAATGTCATTCATATCTGCGTCTGTCCCTTTGCTGTTCCATATGTGTCAACCTAGACTGAGTACTCAGCAAGCCATTACTGCAGTCCTAGAAGTGGATTTCTTTTTCTTTTCTTTCCAGCATCACATGTTCCAGATTCAACTACCTCTGAAAATGAAAGTCCCATCTGCATGAGGCTTTGGGCGGGACAGCTAAACACAAACTGTGACATTCTGCTCCTGGCTCCCCAAAAACTCTTGCATATCCCTTTATGCAAAAAAAGCATTTAGTCCATCTCTATGAGTTGCCAAAATCCTAACATAGATGCCTTACTTGGACCCATCATAAATGTAGTTCCTGGGGCCAGGGATTTAGTTCAGTGGTACTGCACTTGCCTCACAAGTACAAAGTCCTGAGTTTGATCCCTGGTACCAAAACAAAACAAAACAAAAGATATTTTCATGAATAAATATTACACTTAAAAATATATATTTCCCATCAGAACCAAGACCTATTTTAAGTACACTTTCTTTCCCTCCTCTTCACCCCACTTTTCATTTTCTTCATTATTGAGCACCTGCTATGCTCTAGACTCTAACATGTGGGGTCCCAGCCAGGCATAGTGGTGTACAACTATAGTCCCAGCACTTGGGAAGCTGAGGCAAGAGAATTGTTTTGAGTTCAAGGCCAGCCTGAACTACCCTGTCTTGAAAAACATATGGAGTCTCATTTAATCTTCATAATAAAGGAGATGTCATTCCATTTTACTGAAGAGGAATCTGGTGCTCAGAGTGGTTTTATTTGCATAAAGTTCTGCACTAATAAGCCATGGAGCTGGACCTCTGCAGAGTTCCAGAGCTGGTGTGTTGTTTTGTTTTGTTGTTTACCAGATTGTCCCTATGTAGCTCTTATAGTCAAAAACTTTTGAGTCTTTTTTTTTTCACCAGAGTCTTCTGAAGCATTTTGTGTATATGTTTTACACCCCTAGATATAGAATCCCAGGATTTTCCCTTACATGTATTTTCATCTTGTGATTTGGTCCATAATTCCAGCTGAGGTTGTCAATACAAGGAAACCAAACTGATGGGGATGGGAGATGATTCTGCCATTTTTCTAGGCCTTTCAGCTGCACACTGAACCTGGGGCTGATCACTCCACATTTGTTTAACCTGCCCGTGAGGTTCACAGCAATTTTTCCAGACCTGTGATCATCAGAGATTTCAGATTCACCATGTAACCAGGCTTCATTATCACAATTATAAACCACACGATGACTGTTTTGTTGTTGTTTTAGTACACTTTATTTTATCCCATTTCCCCCCCAAGTCCCCTCCCCTCCTATGTACAGAGGTTTGTTTCCATTTTTCCTTCTATTTCACCTTTTCTCTTGACCCTCCCTTCCTCTCTCCCTCACTCCCATGTTCCCCTTCCAATTTAAACACTTTCTTCCCATTTCCCAACATTCATTATACATTTCAAACCCTCCCTTCCTCTCTCCCTCACTCCTCCCATGTTCCCCTTCCAATTTAAACACTTTCTTCCCATTTCCCAACATTCATTATACATTTCAGTCCTTATTTCCACTTTCAGTTTCTCACACCAATGCAGTATTTAAACACGCTTGTCTGATTAATTTCACTTAAGAGAATGGACTCAAGGTCCATCCATTCAGCTAGAAATGTATGAAACCCATTCTTCTTTATGGCAGAGTAGTACTACTTCATTGTGTTAAAAAAATCTTTATTGACTTGACAGTTGATAGGCATTGGGCTGTTTCCAAGATTTAGCTATTACAAACTGTGCTGCTATAAACATGGGTGGGCATATATTGCTGTGGTATGATGTTTTAAATTCTTTCAGGAAGATACCAAGAAAAGGAAGAGCTAGGTCAAATGGAACCTCTAGTTATAGTTTTTTGAGAAATCTCTACACTGATTTCCACAGTGGTTGCACCAGTCTATACCTCCACCAACAATGGAGAAGGGTCCCTTTTTCCCCATGGCCCCTCCAGCATTTGTGATTGGTTGATTTCTTGATAGCAGCCATTCTTTCTGGAGTGAGGTGGAATCTCAGCATTGTTTTAGTTTGTGTTTCTTGAAAGACCAGTGATATTGAACACTTTTTCATATATTTATTTGCTGTTTCTACTTCTTCATCTGAGAGGTGTCTCCTCATTTCAGATGTCCATTTTTGGATTTGGTTTTTAAATTTGGGAGGTCTGATTTTTTTAGTTCATTATATATTCTAGATAGTAGTCTTTTGAGGAATAGCTGGTAAATTTTTTCCCCATGCTGTTGGTTGTCTCTTCACTCTGTTGGTGGTTTCTCTTGCTATGCAAAAGCTTTTTAATGAGATGAGATCCCAGTTGTTGATTCTTTGTAGTATTTCTCAAGCAGTCTGAATTTTGTCCATGAAGTCTTTGCCTACTCCTATGTCCTCAAGTGTTCTACCTATTCTCTCTTCCAGCAGATTAAATGTTTCTGTTTTAATATTTAGATCTTTGAGCCAGGCATGGTGGCACACACCTGTAATTCCAGCACTCAGGAGGCTGAGGCTGTGAGTTTGAGACCTGCCTGGGCTACGTAGTGAGTTCCAGGTCACTCTCAACTACATTGTGAGACCCTGTCTCAAAAAATATATTTTTAGATCTTTGATTCATTTCCATTTTATTTTATTATTATTTGTGGTGGAGCACCAGGGATTGAACTTGGGCCCTTGTGCCTGCAAGGCAGGCAGTGGAACCACTGAGCCAAATCCCCAGCCCATAGATACTTTTTTATTTTTATTTTTATTTTTGGAATAGGGGGTCAAATTCAGGTCCTTGTGTTTGCAAGTCAGGCACTGGAGCCATTGAGCTAAATCCCAGGCCCAATTTTGATTTTATGTTAGTGTGTGGTGAAAGATATGAGTCTAGTTCCAATCCTTGGCATGTGGAAAGCCAGTTTTTCCAGCACCATTTATTAAAGCAGCTATCTTTTCCAGCGAAGGTGTTTGGCTCCTTTCTCAAAGATAAGGTGGTTGAGTATGTCTGGAGTGGTTTCTGCCTCCTCCAGTCTGTTCCATTGATGCTCAGGTCTGTTCTTTTTGCCAGTACCATGCTATTTTTATCACCGTGGCTTTGTAGTATAATTTAAAGTCAGGGCTTGTGATACCTGCTGCTTTGCCTTTGTTGCCCAGAATTGCCTTTGTTATTTTAGGTCTCTAGAATTTTAGGATTGTTTTTTCTAATTCTGAGAGATATGCTGTTGAGATTTTGTTTGGGATTGCATTGAATCTATATAACAACTTTGGAAGTATGGCCATTTTCACTATATTGGTTCTTCCTACCCAAGAACAAGTGATATCTTTCCATTTTCTTTTTATTGAGTTTATTGGTACAATCTAGGTATACAATACAGTTACATTCATCATTGAGATTCTGTACCTTTACATAATAGGTCTTGATTCTCATTTTTTCCCTTTGTCCCTGCCCTCCCTTCACCCCCTCCTCCCCTCCCCATTTACAAACACTTTATTTCCATTTTTTCAGTTTCTCATATTTTTTTCCTCTCCCTTATTACCTTTCCCCCACCCTTCCCACTTTCCCTACACCTTTAGCCCTTTACTTCCTATTCCACATTATTAATTATCTCATTAGGATCCTGTGTACTATTATAGTTTTTCACACCAAAGAAACTATTCGGTATTTCAGTTAAAGAAATCTCTGTATGAACATTAAAAATAGGGAATCCTAAAATAAAACTAAAAAGGAAAGTAAAAGAGTAAAGGCAATGATGTAACATTAAAATAATCCTTAATTCTAGAGATGAAAATGGTCCCTGAATATATTTAAATTGCTTCTTGCTCTTATAGTCTTATCTTATTCTTTAGAGAATACTTTATTAGTTTCTGTAATCAAACGCGTGTAGATATGACATTACATATTTAGTACGATGTGTTATCCCTGTATACATGGAAAAAAAATAAAAATTAAAAAATTAACATTTCTAGACCAATATGGCTGTCCATTTCTGTACAATGTCAACTCAACACAGTAAATTGGGATGACTTTTTCCAAAATTGGCAGCACTGTTAAAGTTTCCCAAAATTCAATTTATATATATTTATATTTATATAAAAAGACTAATAATAGCAGTATGTTATGCATCGACAGCAGCAACAGCTTTTCCAGGTTCTGCAGTCATCTGAACAAAATTATAGACATT